CTGATCTCTCTTAATGACACTTATATTTGAATTTTGTGGGACCCATCTCTGTTTGGGACTGTTTAATTGTCTGTTTAATTCACAATGGTGTTAAATGCAGATTTCAAATGGGCCACCTAATAAAAAGAAAGTCTTAGTCTCTAGAGTTCACTACCTTACTTATTTTGAACTGGTCTAAATTTTTAACCCTCCATAGAGCCTAATAATTTAAGAAGGAAAACTAATATAAATTTCAGCTTCTCATTTCATTTTAAATTCTGAGTTTTTTTATTATTTGGTGTCAGTATGTTTCAGAGGTTACCATGAACAGGTCTGACTGGGGGAAGAGTGCTGCTGCTACTGGTCTTAAGCGGCAACCTCTGCCTCTGCCCCTGGCTGAGAAAGAGCTCAGAGTGTGTTGTTGAATAGCATTGATGGGGCTGAGTCCAAGACCTCACCCAGATGGTCACCACAGATAGAGCTTTTTATGTAAGGAAATAGTAAAAGAGCAATCTCAGAGGCACCCTCCTGTTGAAGAACTGAGGAAGTGAAGTATAAGTTATACCACCTTCTTTGGGAATAAAAGCTGCTAAATGTAACAGAAAAAAATGACAATATAGGAAATCAAAGTTCAGAACAAACCTTCAAGAGTAGTTTCTAATACTCGGGATGCTCCTTTTCCTTTCCCCTTCTCTAAGATCTTTTTGAAAGGGATTTTGGTAGGGAAGGAAAGTAACTTTAAACAGAGCATAAATTAGGGCATGAGACGCCCTTTGTATAAGAATTATCTTAGACATGATTTTGAAAACATATTTTTTAAATCTTATTAAGAAAATAATCAGAAGTATTTTTTAAAAATCTTTGAGTTTAGTCTGCTTTCAGTAAAAATAAGGTATAGATATCAAAATAAGCAAACCTCTTTTTTACTTTCCTGGTTTCTGCTTATGAGATTTATACATGTTTAAAATAAACTCATGAAAGACAGGAATAGTGTCTGGAATTGGATAAATAGAGAAATTACTTCAAGGCTCAGTAACCCAACTGGGCTTGACTTATGGGAATAAACTGGCTAAGACTTCTCCCTCATTCCTATTGTATAAAGGTGTATATGAAAGTGATAGTGACCTCTTTCTGAAACCCCAGAATCCTACTCAGTGATGTACTTGTAATGCTTGTGAAAGAATTAAAACAACACAGACATTGGTTAAAGTGAAAAAAGAGGCAAAACGCTAAATTCTAATTGTGTGGTTTCATGTGTCAGATCCTTTAAAATACTTTGGTAATAACTAACTAACTAACTAACTAACGGGTTTAAAAGCATTGAGTTGAGATACCTAGAAAATAAAAGCCCACAATTAAAAACAAGAATGAATCTCATTTTATTTATTTTTTAATTAGATTTAATATAGGTTGCTATGGTGAAAATATTTTGAAATACTTAACAATAATGGTTTTGTGGAGCCCTAGAGATCAAAAACAGAAATGTAAATAAGCAGGACTCTTAAAGACTTACACTCTCAGACGTGTCTAATGTAAATGATTGCTAGAAAGGAAGTGCGTTTTCTTCAGTGCTATGCAAGGAAATTTTAATTGACTTGATTTTGGCAGTGAGAATTGTATAACTTAGCATTAATAACTCAAATTTAAAAATATTTGCTCATTGCTCTTGATTATGACCATGTTCAAGAAATACTATTTTCAACCAATTAATCATTGTAGATAAACTCTTTTTACACATTTATGGCATCTATGAGTATGACTGTTTATTACATTTTACCTATAAAAACTGAACTGCTTTATATACTCTTTATGGAAACAGTGTACAGTCATAAATTAAAAGATGCAACTGTTTTTGATATTTTACTGGTGGTCTTGTGTTTTCTTGCCAGCAGTGCAGCTATTTCAAGTTTCTCAGGATAACACATAAAAAGCTGTGTGCACACTGCAAGTTTATGCTCCAATTGCCAAGCCAGAGAGGGTATGACTCAACTTTCCCAGAAGCAAGCTATACGAAAATGTGGAGAATCAAAACAGTTAGTTGCACAGTGGTTTGTTTTACAGCTATGAGAATCAATACTCATTTCTGATAGTTGGTTTCTTACAGTTGAAAAACATTCTACTGCAGTGCTTGAATTGAGGAGTGAACATCTGTTAGAGATAAGACTATAATTTCCTCGTAAGCATCTGAAGAAAGGAAACGATGATACAACATCATCGGTGTGTGGATAAAAGTTAGCTGAACACTTATGTCGGAAATGGAACATTTTATTTTCAAATTACCTGTAAAATATTACTCATTTACTATTTGTATGATAGTTATTGAATTCTCAGTGAGGCCAGGTAAATTATTAGGCTTTTTGCGGAGACTTAACACATACCTCATTTCTTATGAATCAGAATCTTAATTTTGTGTCCAGGAAGGTAATAAGCAAATAACTTTAATACCCTGTGGTAGTTTTGGCAAATCCTTATGTGAATCTTGTGGGACTTAAGGTTCTATCAAAGGATGGATAGACAATGACTAATTAATAAGAATAGTCTCCAAACTGGAATGCATGTATATAAGGGAGAAAATATTAGAGTTTTTATTAAACTATTTCAATTATATCATTTATATTTTATTTATCTTACAATACAGGCAGTCCCTGGGTTACGGGTGAGATAGGTTCTGTAGGTTTATTCTTAAGTTGAATTTGAATGTAAGTTGGAACAGTTACATTTACCTATGACCTATAATAGCCTCCATTCATAAGTACAAATTGTACGTCAGTCAGGTTTGTATAACTTGGGCACTTACTGTAACAGCCTCCTTTCGTAAGTATGGGTTGCAGATAAGTCAGATGTTGGTAATTCAGGGGCTGCCTATATATTTACTATATTAGTGTTAAATGTATATAATTATATATTATGTATCATAACAATATCAGTATTACATGTATAGTTAAAAATAAGTATATAGATTTCAGTATGTGTCCAAATATGTTTTACTGTATAAATAGACTGTCAAAAAAGTTGATGCTCAGTAAATTTTAATTCCCTTTCTCCTTCCCCTTTCTTCTTTCACCTTTGCCAGAGAAGCAAAGAATTGAATTAGCACCTTGATTTGTGGAAGTGTGAATAAATTAATAGCCAATTCCAGGAGCTTAGTCTGCCTCTTTCTTTGACCACTTTTTCTATTTGGACTCTAATGCTCTCATGCATGTGTTAATTACACAAGGTTATTAAGCATAGATACAAATGAAAAACAGACCTGTTACTATGTTAGAAGTGATAAGTTACTCACTCATTAAGGTCTTAAAATATAGGAAGTTTGAATGAATGAGTAGAAAAAGTTCCAGGTTATTAAAATGTTCTGAAACCTGATTTATTCATTTGCCATACCCATTAATTTTAAGGTTGGGGAAGCTCTGTACTTCCTGAGACTTAAAGAAACAATGTAGTTTCTTAAACTAAGCATTAAAGAAAAGCTGAGAATATTGGTTTCCAGTGGTATTGATGGTGGTGCTAACTGATCCCCCCCTTTGGCTAGGATTGTCATTTTTTAGGCCTGTTTTGTTAAGGTACAAAGAATTTATTGCTAAAAGACTGCATAACTGGAATAAAATTGTTGTATTATACTGTCTTCCAAGATCGATTCAGAAGACTTTTCTATTTTTACTCTTTCAGACATTATCTTGACAATCTCAAACATTTCAAGACATATAACTTATAAGATTTCTTTTCCTGGGCGGCGCCTATGGCTCAAAGGAGTAGGGTGCCAGCCCCATATGACAGAGGTGGCGGGTTCAAACCCAGCCCCAGCCAAAAATAAAAATAAAAAAAGATTTCTTTTCCTGTGAGGAAGGAGACAATATGTTTTTGAAATATTGAAGTAATTTTAAAGAAACTAGTATGTTTTCTCCCCTCCCCATTTACTTAGGTATTTAGGAGTTTGCTTTAAAATATATTTATGTCAAAATATTAGCAATACAACATTGTCATGATGCTCTGTATTTAGTAAGTATGTGCCGGGAGGGAGAGCATTAGTCAGGTACTCAAGCAACAACCAGGAAAACAAATCAGCCCTGAAATTGTGAAACAATGAACATTTTAGTAGCAAGTATTATTTTTGAAACCTCTTTCAGCACTGTTTTTAGACCATACTGTAATTTGCCTTGTAATTTAGTGCTGGTTTAGGCACTTAAAGGCACTCTATGTACCTTAACTATGGATTTCCTTTTGAATGGTAATAATCCATTTATAAAAGTCAAACATTTCAATCTCAGAATTCCTCTTCAAAATCGAGTAGATTTTACTATTGTTTTTAAAAACGTTACCAGTTTGTGTGTGCTGTCTGCGCCAATGCTATCCTCTTTGTTTTGTTTTAGGTATTTAAACCACGTCAGAGCTGCCTCTCCACAGGACCTTGCTGGGGGCTACACTTCTTCTCTTGCTTGTCACAGAGCTCTACAAGATGCATTCAGTGGGCTTTTCTGGCAGCCCAGTTAACCTTTATTTCTCTGTTTATAAGATTTGGACCTTGGAGCTGAACCTGAGAGCTAGCAAAAGTGAAGCAGACTCGTAAAATTATAGCTGTGTGCAGCTGCACAGAACAGCTGCATTAAAGTATTTATAAAGAGAAATTTTCAGAAAGAAACAAATACTGGGGATACATATTTGGGAAAAATAGTTTTTACTTATATTTTTCTGAGAGAGATTGATGCAGTAAGCTTCATCTGATGGAAGAGAGGAATAAATAATTAACATGTTGTGTTTAAGGTTGACAGACTTGTAAAAATCTTTTCAAAAATAAAGCTAGACTTTATATTAAGTTTTGTGGGTTTTCTCTTATTACAGTGTTTTACTTGAATACATTTTAAAATGCCATTTTTATTACAACATTTAGTGTTAATATCCAAGTCTGTTATTTCTTCTCATAAAATGTTCTCTTTTTTCCTTGTCTTCTAATACCAGCCCAGACAAATGGATGTATTTCCTTCAACCAGCAGGTTGCGACAAGTAAAATCTGACCTGTGATAATACTCACTCAATATTAAGGACTCAATGCCTGTTTTGAGCAGTGGAAAGTGAGGCAAACCTTGATCAAGGTGTTATAGTTCCCAGCTGTGAGCCACACTTAGGATAAAACAGAACATATCATTAACCCGCTTTAATGACAAATTCAAAGAAGTTAATAAAATTTAATGCTTACATGACACCTTCACCTCCAATGTGAGCTCATTTTATGATGAAACCTTAGAGACTGGAAAAGGTCCACTTCAAGTGAAATTGCCCTATGTGTAAATGGTACGTCCTAATGGAGTTTTCTGTTGAAACTTCAAAGGCTTTTATTATACCCAGGGTTTTGCTTAAAGAGTTTGAATGTGGATAGTATATTTGTACCATCTCCATCTTATATCCATCTGTGACATATAGACCACTGGATAAGAGACATCGTTTCTTGAGGAAATTAAAAGATTTCCCTTCAAATCTACATTACAACAGATGGTAATTTTATGGGTGGAAACAAGACTTGTGGCTACATTAGGATGGAATATCCATATGTTATAAGCTCCATCTTAATTTACTAATAAGCAGGTATTGATTTCAGGAATTCATCTTCATTTTCACAATACTTCTATCTTTGGCAAATGAGAAAACCAAAGCATCAAATAATTGAGTAGATAATAAAGATCATATTCCCAAGTTAGAATCATATAATACAAAGCCAGAATTAGAACACAGTTTCTTTTTGGTTTCATTTTTTAAATCAAAGTTCATTTCTGCCTATGTTCTACCAGGCTGCATATTTTATTCTTTATATCCATTAGGGATTTCTTCATTAAGTGTTTTTTAAGTACAACCTATAAATCTGTTCAAAGAATAGTGAGAACATTGAATTAACAGTTAAGGCTTTGTGGTACCCAATTGCAAAAATAAGGTATCCAGTCTTTTAAAAAGAAACACTATTACTCATTTTCAGTACCTTGTATAACGTACTTTAAGAGAATGAACTAATTGATAAAACATTTCAAAGGCTTCCAAGACTTGTTTTGAACCTACCTTATTGTGGAAATTGCACGTACCTGGTTTGACAAATAAATTCCAAAACCTTTGTATGTGTGTAAATATTTTACCCTTGGTATACTGTACTTTGTTCAGTAGGCCAAATTTAGAAGTTATTAATTGACTTATTAAATCAAATAGAATGGTGAAAAATAACCTTATGACAATTCACTAAACAACAGAACTCTTCTAAATTGAGGTGCTTATCCCTTATCCTCTGTCAGAGACAAAGGCTGCACAAGTCTTTATGTACATTAATTAAGCTTTTAACATTATTACAACACTAGTCCTGAGATAATAGTTCACAACTACTGTATTTCCTGGGTGCCAGGCACTGTTCCTCATGCTTTCTTTATGTATCATCTAGTCCTTACCACAGGGCTACTATCATTTTCCTCATTTTAGCAGATGGAGGATCTGAGGCATGGAGGTTAGTAACTTGCCAAGATTTCTATGACTTAAAAATAGCACAGCGGAGATTTGAACTCACGTAGTCAGACTCCAAAGTCCATGTTCTTGAGATGACTGTCAAATAACAGCTGTGTTAAAACTAGGTCTGCAAAGTCAAACTTTGTAAGAGTTCCAGGAGGTTTTATAGATCAAGCATTTGGCTCTTCTTATGGGATATAAATGATATCAACTAAATGATCTTGTTGATATCCAGAGATGTTCTGAGAAATTCATAATGTAGAAAATGATTTTATGAAATAACTATACTCCCTTTTAACAGATATTAAGGTATAGAATATTCCTATATCCTAGCTAGGATGCATTATTATGTACCTGGTTTAGGTACATAAGGAATAAGTATTCATGATTTTGATTCAGTAAATACCTAAACTGCTCTTAGAAGCTTTAGGCTGTCAAAAGATGGTCACATAATCATTTTAAGGTGGCAGAAAATTTGTCAAAAAGTTAACAAAAGTAAAATATTGTACCAAATGAGCGTCACAGCTGTCATTTTCTAGTAGATTCATCAAAGAATTCATTTACTAGGTATCACATCTAAAGGTCTAAGGTGACTCTAGATTTAAATAACGAAATAATCACGTTCACTTGTCTACTCATTCGCCCCAAGGGAAAAGAGGGAAGGAGTTAAAATGTTACAGAAACGTTTAGGGAGTCTGTTTTCTTTACAGTTATATGTTGCACACTTTCTCTAAGGGATGACTAAATGGAAGCAAGAGTCTTACCACTTGATGTGTATGAATAAAACCATCTACACACACACACATACACACTCACTCACTCTGCATAACCTAGCACATCACCATCCAGTACTTGGGTCAAGTTTCTAGTTTGGATTTAAATGTTTGTAAATCAGAAATGAGAGTTCCAATTCATTAATTTCCTATACTTCTTAAAATTTATTGCCTTCATTTATTTACGTTCACTGACAGGCTTCTGAAGGCATTTGAGTTTATAATTAATGGTCTAGATCAGAGGTCCCCCAACCTTTTCTGTAGGGCCAAAAGCTAAATCTTTTAGGTTGTAGGCTAATGGCAAAATTGAAGAGATTATGTAGTTATGTAGGAATTTATATAATGAGCTAAAACAAGATGCCACAGTTTTTTTATTGACAAAATTCAAAATACAGTATTTTGTAGTGCCTTTTCAGAGGAATAATATTGCCTTTAATTGGAGATCCAGGTAAGTGTAAATGATCACCTGTTAATGATTATCCTTAACTATCATTAATATTAATAATGAGATTTTACACATTTCATATTTAAAAGTGTATTTTCACACAGATAGGTACTGCCAAATATTGGCATCAATCCAGAGTATAGGCTGTTAACCAAGCATGTTCATCACTGGGAAAGCGTTTGTAAAATTCTGTTAGATTCCTCCTTTGATATTTGCCTTTTAGCACGTCATTACATAGCATATTAATCACTTCCACCTGAAGATTAGGTGGAACCTCAACTACAGTTAAATAGATTTTGAAACAGGGAAATTTCCTTTGTACTTGCACCAAAAAATGCTAAACTCAGAAAAGTTTATTTCTGCTATCTTGTGAGAATAGAAATCTTAGTCCTGGTTTTAATTTCTGATAGTAGGAAAAATATATAAAGTATGATATTATGATTCAAACATTGTTGAAATGACTACCACAGTATCTTTCATGTTAAAGTTTTTTTTTTATCATATTATCGAGTCTTCAACAAAAGATAATTTTCAAAGTCATTTAGTGTTCGAGAAAGGTGTTTAAGGGTAGTTCTTCCAGTTAAGAAAAATTTCAATCTTAGCCCCCAGTTAAAAAATTGCAATCACATTTTACAATGGCTGAGCAAATCAAACCTAAGTCAGGATAATCAGCTTTAATTTCTGACAAAATTCAAAGAACTGAGGATGTTTAAAGTCATCAAAGAAGAGCGTATCACTGGCAATACTGGTTCAGTAACACATGATAAATTCAAACATTTTCTGCAGGGTACTTGCTATTGCATAATAAATATAGAGAACAGCCATAGACTTAAACTCCTTAATTTTTTTTGAGCTTTGTGAACTTCTCAAACTAAGCCCTTTTTCTGCCATACATTTTTTTGTCTTTAAGATAGAGTCTCACTCTGTCGCCCTCAGTAGAGAGCTGTGGCATCACAGCTCACAGTAACCTCAGACTCTTGGGCTTAAGCAATTCTCTGACCTCAGCCTCCCAAGTAGCTGGGACTACAGGCACCTGGCACAACACCCAGCTATTTTTTGTTGCAGTTGTCATTGTTGTTTTAGCTGGCCGAGGCTGGGTTCGAACCCGCCAGCCTGGATGTATGTGGCTGGCTCCATAACCCCTGTGCTACGGGTGCCAAGCCATACTTTTAGGTTGTACAGAATTAGTGTTTTCTCAACCTCTTTGAAAATATCCATTCATAGTTGTTTCATGGAATAGTCAAAGGCTAAACTCTCAGTCACTTCAAACTTGACATTAATGCCTCAAATAAACAAGAACTGAGTAGTATTAATAACATTGGTCAATTCACAGAGCTGAAGAACTGCTGAGAATCATTTATCCTTTTAATTGACTGTTGATGTTGTTCCCAATGTCCTTAACTCTTTAAGCAACTGTTCTTGCTATAAGGTCAAGAGTCTTTTTTTTTTTTTTT